TGCTCACCATGGGCATAAATGATAAATGTGCCTAAGTAAAAAATGCGCCATTCGTTCTCGCCCATAGCTTTTATGGTGTGTGTTCTGTCCTATTTAATATAAATCTAAAAAAGTAACTCAGTACTTCAACAAAATGCATTAAAGGTTTCCAGGACTAAAGTATGAATATAAGAAGACGTGGTCGTCCTGGTGAGTCACTTCCACTTCTGCTGTATTAATAGTTCACTGCAGTGTTATGAATTCCCTAATTGTACATAATTCACACGAGGCATTGCTGCAATCACAGCTTGTTGTTTTTTCGTTTGTGGAGTTTTATCAGGCTTTGTCTGTCAGTGATTATATTTATTTTTTGAATCACTGGACTTTAATTCTCCTTTCATTCTATGTATCTCTGTTTGTATGCATTTCTGACGATCAAGTTAATCTGTCATTTATTACAACAACAAAAGACATCAATATAATTGTACTTGTTTAATTTCAGAGAGAGGAAAAGAGAGAGATTGATGGAGAGAGACGGGCGTTGGATGCAGCTGTGGTGGTTTGTTATTGACTGAAATTCATTCCACTCATTGAAGAGCATGTTATGACCTGCTTTTTACACATGGTTTGATCTATAACCCAGATTCCCACTATGTTGGTTGACAGAAACACTAAAGAGGCTTAACACATGCATTACATGTGACATTTAAAGCTCTATACCATATCCACCATTGCCTGCGTCATATTGCTCAGCTGTACATGCCGCTAAACCACGTAACCTCTGCACCTGAAACCAGCGGAACAGGTGCAAAGTTGTTGACCTACTTTTACTAAAGCAGGATTACAATAAATACATGTGAAAAGTCATGATTTTTTTTTTCTAACCATTTGAGGGTGTTAAACTGTGCATAATTACAGCAACAAAAAACACTCCCCATCCATATACAGGACAAAAATGTAGAGCATGTTTTAATGAAAGTATCAGCATTTCTATAAGTGGTAACTCAATTTGACGACCATTGTGCACAGAGACACCAACACAGAACACCACTTATAACAGTAATGCACATTTTTTCAACCCTGCTGATGCATTATTACTATGCTTATGTGGTTAATGATGAAACAAATGCATAAAGGAAAGAAAACTCTCTACCAAGAAAAAAATAGTTTTTGTCAGATTCATCACAATCCTCCAAAGTCAAACCAATTCAACTACTCTGTAAGAAATAAGGAGTTTGCATGTTCTCCCCGTGCAGCTCTCCAGGGTTCTCCGGCTTCCTCCCACAGTCCAAAAACATGTTGAGGTTAATTGGTGATTCTAAATTGTCCGTAGGTGTGAATGTGAGTGTGCTTGGTTGTCTGTCTCTAAGTGTAGCCCTGTGATAGACTGGTGACCTGTCCAGGGTGTCCCCTGCCTTCACCCTGAGTCAGCTGGGATAGACTCCAGCCCCCCATGACCCTAATGAGGATTAAGCGGTGTATAGATGATGGATGGATGGATGTAAGAAATAATCTCAACATGCATGGTGTAAGAGGAGAGTTCCTTTTTCTTATTATTCTCAAATCATTGTGTTCACCAGAAAATGTGCACACTATGAGAGATAAAGACCATAATTAGAGCTTTTTAATGATCAGCTTGCTCCCTCTCTGAATGCTTATCTAAAGAAGATCCAACTGAATGTGATCAGGTTGAGGTGATGATGCAGCTAAAAGCATTTCATCAAAATTGTGAGAAAGGACAATCTTTTTAAAACAAAGCACACAACTATCCCATGAGCCACTGCACTTACTACAGTAAAAAAAAAAAAAAAGATACCACGCACATCCCATCAAAGCTCTCACACGATTGCAGTCTTTGCAATGTCTTAAGCAGGATAAAAAAAAAAGGAGTCGTGTGACGCCACTGACACTTGACAGTCGTCCCCCCTAAAGCTTATTTTGTAACGCTCTCCGTGCTGCTCTGTATCTGTTGTAGCTTATTTGCCCCTATCTGGCGAAGCATTGATTTCCAACTGACTCATGTGCGTGAGGATGCAGCCCTGGTCAGAGAGCTAGCACCACTCAATAATAATTAGTCTCTTTCCACTGCGAGCCAAAAAGCCAGCTATATCTTTAGCAGCGGGCTGGAGCCGAGGAATTAAGCACCAGCTGGTTCGATAGTGACTGACTCATTGACATGTTGAACGCTGACCTCCATTGTTCAGGTCGTGCTCTATGTATGCCACACCACCGGTGTCTTTTTCCATCAAGGCAAGGTCATTCGTCCATATGATGGGGAGGCTACATATGCTGTAGCTGTGAAGATCTGACAAACTCTGCATATTTATGTAATAAAAGAGCGGGGGGAAAATAAAAGACAAACAAAAGAGCATATGCTGTCTGTGAAGCTCTGGCATGTAAACGGAAACAGTTTCACCCACATCAATGGATACAAGCCACTGTGTGTTCTGAAAAATACAAAAACAAGATTTTTATTTGTAAGAATTGAACGTAACTGACACGCTGCATTGATTAAAAGCAATTTTAAGCATAACTTCTTCTTTTAATTTTAATGAAAAGTGTTTTATTATCACTGTCTGCTCGCATCTGAGAGGGATGTCACGTTGTACAGCGCAGGGCAGTTGGATGAGCAGGATGACTTGCTGCTTTCATCTTTCTCTAATCCCCCTCTGAGTCAAGCTTGTTGCACAGGCTGTGCTAACATTAATGACAAGTGGCATCATATTCAGTGTAAGGCAAATCATTAAATGTGACCTAATTAAAGTATTTAAAAGGCTACTTCCCTCATCAGATGTGCACATATTCCCACATTTTACTGTTTTGTGTTTTAGGTGACGTAAGTAGCTCTTCACTTCAGTAGTTTATTTTCAGCTTTTGTTAGTTTACACAATCAGCATGTTTGGTCTCTGCTCAGCAAAATAGCCATATATCTTGCTCTTCATGTGCAGTAGCAACGGATATCCTGTTTTATATTTCCCTGCTGTGCTGACATGCACGCATATGCACAACAGCTCTGATTGGACTGACAACGGTAATCCCTGAAAACATCTGCTCATTTATAAAATCTGTGATATAGTCCACAAATACATATGCATTAGTGCACATACATGTGTAGGTGGCATGCAGTCACACACACGCACACGCACACACACACACACGCGCGCGCACACACACGCACACACACACGCACACACACACGCACACACACGCACACACACACGCACACACACACACACACACACGCACACACACACACAGAGTATCATATAAATTCTTATTCCATGCAGATCAAACACTATTCCACATGCATGCACAGTGTGCAGATTAAGGCTATCCCTTGCTGAAGGGGCTTAGTTGACATCTCTGTCTAAGTTCTGCATTCTTCGCCTCCCTCACTTCCCTTCATCTCTTCTATCAACATGTCCAGCACCATAAAAAGCAATGACCAGCTGATGAGCTCTTCTGACCCGTGTCCTGCTGGCAGTCATGAGAATATAGCTGAGAACATGGTGCCCATTAGCTCCCTGAAAATTGAACGTGATGACATGAACATCGTTCTTAATTAAGATTTTCTCGCTATAGACAAAAAAAAAAAGTCCCACTTTCTCTAATAAATGTAGTATATTGAACAAAGATGGCAACAAAGATGGCTCCTCTGCTCAAGAATAAAATGAATTTACGGCTAGAGTGAAGGCATGAAATACTGGAGACGTATTTGAGCATTCTGGATCACGATGTGCGCATTGCCAGTCAGAGCTGTTGTGAATTAATCAGGGAGTGGGAGTGGGAAGCCCAGTGACTTTCATGGCTCCATGCGTGATCTTATACATCCTGTGCATGTTAGCGAGTGTGAGCACAATGATGTCACAGCCACTTGAACGAAAAACATGCAAGTCTTGCGCATGCATGAGCGCCTGCTCACATTCAAGACGAGCTTCTAATGAGCTCCGTAACGACTTGCACACGGCCAGGAGTCGGCTGACGTTGAAAGGTGACTGACGTGCATCACTGTGTGCACGTCCAGCGTGCAAAGCCTGATGGATTTCTGAGCCAAAATGGATGTTGACACGAGTAGTGTTAGTGAACATCATGTCTGTTATGTAAGGATCTGGTAGTTAAAGGGTTAGAGCTCAGGGCTGGGCCGTAATACATGAAGGGTGGGGAGGGGGTGAGGGAGAGGGAGAGAGAGGCAAGAAAGGCAGTGCATTTGAGGAGAGAGAGAGAGAGAGAGAGAGGGAAGGAAGAGAAAGGGAGCATGACAAGGGGGCAGGGTTGAGAGAGCAGCACAAACCAACATGGGACAGTGAGGGAGAGGCAGAGAGAGAGAGAGAGAGAGAGAGAGAGAGAGAGAGAGAGATGAGGGGTTAGGAGTCGCTAGTTCACAAGATAATCAGAGACAGGCCACTGATTCAGAGCTCGGTGCACAGCTGGTGTGATGGGTGAAGAGGCTGCAGGCGAACACTGAGTGGACAGACTGTGACAATGTGCAACGAGTGTGGGATTTAATGTACTGGAGAATATAATCTACTCAAGTATCAAGCAGGAAATACGGCAGGTGGAAGCCAAGTTTTTTTGAACTGCACACCAGAGGGGAAGAAAGAACAGACATGGATGCTGCTTCGAAGCACATTTGGAGATAACTAACGTGAGAAAGGGGTGTCAACTCTCATCTGACACCACCGGACAAGGCGGTGAAAGAGGAGCTGCTGCTGCTGCTGCTGCTGCTTTCACGTTTTATGACAGATGTTTTCCTAACCTTTCTCATATCACTTTGTACAGATCAGCCCTTTCATTCTTTGTCACCAGAAGTGGGCATATAAACTAAATTAGATTTCCTGGCAAAAATGGAGATCACCTGGTCCTTTGTTTTTTGTGCTTAGTGCAGGAGGAAAGGTTTAGGATGGGACAGACAAAGAGTGCCGTCTCCTGAAAATGATCAGTAAGTAGAAAACTTGATAAAACTACATCTTTACAGCCAGATACATCCTTCGTGCAAATGACACCACTATGGAGGCCCGAGGCGAGAAAAATGAAGTGGATTCCGGACTGGTAGACCTGCTACTACATCCTGCCAGGTTGGCAGCCCTGATGAGGTGTCTGAACCATGTGGTCCACTGAGAGCATGGAGCCGGAGAAAGCACACACCCAGAGCAGCTTCTTCAACAAGGTGGAGGTGCCTGACCATGCTCACTACATCGTCGCTTTGTTCGTCTTTGTCATCGGGACCCTGGGCATCACTGGGAACGCCCTGGTCATGTTTGCCATCTACAGGTGGGTTTGTGTGACTGGCAGATTATTTTTTTTTACTGTGAATCTTTATGTGTGTGTGTGGGTGGGTGAGTGTGGTTTTTTTTTTTGTGGATTTATTCTGAGCAAGTTTCATCCCACTGAATTAGCCTTCACCATTTTTTAATGCAGATCACTGTTTAAATAAAGCCCTGCTGTAATCAGTCAGATGTGATGATCTGACTGAGAGCTGGACAGATGGGGAGACTGACAGAAAGCCTGTGCTGTGTGAAGGGGGCATGCTGGTGCCAAAATGCAACGAATGGAGGTCTTTTTGAGAGTTTTGATAGCTAGAAACACATGCTGCAACAGACAAAACAGCAGGACAGGATGATAGGAATTGGCTACCTTTAATTTACTGCGCAGCGAGCATCAGTACTTGTCATGTCTTTTACTCTCCTGAGGATCAAAATAATCTTTGCATCCTCGCATCCTGGCTGAAAGGTAATCTTAGCTGCAGGGCAACAAAGTGAAATTTGGTGTTCATAGAAGCAAATCTGTCCTTGAAAGATCACATTAACTACACTAGAAAAAAGTAGGAGGCTGCTTTTTGAATAACAATGAACCTTTCCAGCCTTTTACAGGGAAACTTTCGCAATGCCCATTTAACCCTAATAGAAGTATTTGTATGCGGTGTGCAAAACCGGTAGGATGGCGCTCACTCAAGTCTTGTTAGGAGCCACAAAATCAGTAAGCTGGACAGCAAATATGATTAAAAAAATAAACTGGCTGCATGCATGACTGATGGCTGCATAAAGGTATTGTTCATGTCACTATAAATCCAATGCACCATGCAGTTCAATTCACACTTTGCAGTAATATGCAACAGGTTATGTCAAAAACAAGAGGCAGCTGAATGTCACTCTGCAAGACAAGTCGCTCTTAATTTGTAAACTTCAATTAAAAGTCAAGACAGGACTTTGTGTTTTACATGTTGTGTAATTTGGACCTGCACTGACTCTCGTTGTGCCACTGACGTTATCTGTTTCACCGAAACTGGGTCAGTGTGTGTGTGTGCGCGCGTGTGTGTGTGGGTGGTGTAGTGTGGTGGCGGTGGTGTGGTGTGCGTGTTCTGGGGATTGTCAGGAGCTTTCATATTCCATCTGTCCATCATCGTAGATAGATTAGATGGGTACTCCACTGTATTGTGCTGATAATTTGTGCTTACTGAGTCAGAAATGCATGTGATGTTATGAGTTCCAAGAAAAATCATTCACGCACACACAGACACACACCAACACACACCAACACACACCCAGAGGGCAATGACTGTCTTTGGTGAGATGTCACCCGATATGATGATTTTTTCTAGGAAGAGGCGATGCTAACGTAACGATGATGCAATAATCAGAGAAACACAAACAAACGTTAATAGGCCTGAGTTCACCAAAACCTGATGGGTCCGTTTTCAGTCAGACAAGGGGAGCAACCAATTTTAATTCAGGATTCACAGAAAGAGACTTTAATCAATAAAGAGCTGCGGAGGAAGAAGACAGCAGGTCAATACGCTGCTCAATCAAGCTCATACGAATGCAGGTTCACACAGAGTTGACGAGTCTAACAAAGAGCTTATATCTGATTAATGCTGACAATTAAACAGTAGCATGGGTGTTGAATTAGGCATTCAAAAACATTTCATTAAGTGAGGAGACAAGTGTTTCTATCCTTTAAACAAACTCGTGCGATATTATATTTAGTAGTCCAATATTTGAAAATGAGAGGCTGATGCAGATGTTTTGTTTCATCCATCAGTGCCGCCTGCTTGTGTCAAAAGCAGCAAAAAGACAATAACAGAGCAGATATCAGCTGTTATTCCACGTAACTGTTAGCCTGTTAGTGGCATGGTCCACATCTCACTAATTGGGTTTTGTGAAATCAGTCAATCAGACTCAGAATTCTGTAGAACTTTTGATAAATTGGAATGTAAGACAAAGTGTTTCACAGATTAAAGAAATTAAAAGACAGAAAACATAATAATAGTACTATATGTGTATATACATGTTTTAAATCAATGGAATTAATCAAAAGTCAGACTGTTGGAGTTTGCTTTTCAAAAATCCAATGTTCCCATCAGATCCACTGTAAGGATGTTGCATCAGAACATTTTCGTTATCTCAACACTCTCATTTTTATTTTACTGTTTGTTTCTAATAATATCACTTTCCTTGTGTGTTTGTGTGTATCTGCAGCAACAAGAAACTCCGTAACCTGCCGAACTACTTCATCATGAACTTGGCGGCCAGTGACTTCCTCATGGCCTTCACACAGTCCCCCATCTTCTTCATCAACTGCCTCTACAAGGAATGGGTGTTTGGAGAGATGGGTAATCCTGTGCTCTCTTCTGCACTGTTGGCTTGTTTGTTAGCTCTTCATATATTTTTAATTTAGAAACAACCACATTAGATGACATTGCATTCTGCTGCTGAGTTGTTAACGTGTTTGCATGTGTTCCTTTCATGTAGGGTGTAAGATGTACGCATTCTGCGGCGCCCTGTTCGGCATTGCCTCCATGATAAACCTGCTGGCCATCTCCATCGACCGTTATCTGGTCATCACCAAGCCCCTGCAGACCATCCACTGGAGCTCCAAACGCAGAACTACTCTTGCCATCCTCATGGTTTGGCTCTACTCTCTGGCTTGGAGTCTGGCTCCTCTAATTGGCTGGAGTGAGTTTCCTCCAGCTGGGGGTCTTTTTCTAATCATTCTCCTTCACTTGCCACAGAAATAAGGCTAATTAATAGTATACATGGCACTGTGTTAGTTTAACAGAGACAGACACTGTGCTTGTTTCCAGGCTGTAGGAAAAAAAGAACTGATGTAGGGAGTAATCTAACTAACACAGTCAGTTCTTAATCTGCTGCACCTCAGACATTGAAACACAAACTTGCATTGCCATCGGTGCTTTGCTCTATCTCGCTTCATGTAACTTAAAATATGTATATTGGATGTTCTTTTATCGTTGTAGGCTCCTACATCCCCGAGGGCCTGATGACATCTTGCACATGGGATTATGTTACGTACACAACAGCCAACAGGAGCTACACGATGATGCTGTGCTGTTTCGTCTTCTTCATTCCACTGGGAATCATCTTTTACTGCTATCTTCTAATGTTTCTGTCCATAAGGAAGACGAGCAGGTGCTGTAACACTTTAATCAGAGAGTGTATTTGAAGGATTCTTTGCTTGCATATTTATAAAATGAGGTACATGAGCCACAGAGTTTGTTTTAAAGACAAAATCCAGAGATCCAGTGACTATGAATTGGTTGCTTCTTTTCTTGGTGTTTGGCAACAACCCAACAAGCTTCTGTTATTTCTTACAGTATGTTATTCCAGTGTGTTATTTCTGTTTTCCAGATTGCATTCACACATTAAAAGCATCACATAAAAAATGCAAAGTACATGATTTTAGGTAAATTTGTGTTCAATTTTACAAACTGTGTCTAATAAAACTGTGCTATACATCTTGGGAATAGCAGACTGGCTGCTTGCCTTGAGGAAATTAAAAAAATTGACCATTCCCATTAGGAAATGTGATAGCACCTTTCACAGACATATGTGCAGGTGGTCCAAAATCTGACATTGCAATTATATCTTCTTTGGGAAGAGACTAGTTTAAATAAAACATAACTTCAAGTGTCCAGCATTCCAGAAATAAATATAAATAACTTCAATGTTGTTTTTGGATCTTTAAATGCTCCCTCCGTCCGTCTCCACCTACAGGGAGGTGGAACGTCTGGGGACTCAGGTGAGGAAATCCACTCTCATTCAGCAGAAGTCCATCAGGAGTGAATGGAAACTGGCAAAGATCGCCTTTGTTGTCATTGTGGTCTACGTCCTCTCCTGGTCACCGTATGCCTGTGTCACACTGATTTCCTGGGCCGGGTAAGGATTTCTTTTCTTATATTAGGGTTTTTACGCTCAAATGCACAGTTTTGTGGATACACTTGTATAAAGTATGTTTGTATATTGGTTCGGTATGTAACATATATGTTCTTCCTATAATGGCAATAAAGTAAAACTGCATTTTGCTTTTAAAATTGTGTGTATAATTCACCATAACTTACACTCTTTAGTCACATGTTAGGATGAACATCTACCCAGATGCAAAGTAATACATATTACACTTACTCCTTCAGAATAAAAGCCTGTTACACTGAATAGTGTATCTTGAAGAGTTTTAAGCAGCGTTAATCATGTTGTGTTTGTGCTGAACAATGCTCAGCATGTCAACGTGGTCAAGATGGAAAAACATGTTGTTGAGCAGCAACACATATGATTTGGTTTCGTAGTCTTTCTAATTGCAGGAATGCATTGTCAGTAAGCAGAACATGATAAGAACTCTCATAAATAAGATTACAAAAATAATGTCGACACTATCTTTCTCTTTCATTCTCCTAATATTAACTTGTGGCATTTGTTCATAAAAATAGTCACAAACTAAACCTAAAACACGTCTTGAGGTGTCTGCATCATGTCATTCACTCTGATTAGAGTATGTTTGGATAAAAATCTCCCTAAAATGGCGCTAAATGTGTCATTATATAATGTCTGAGCAAGAAGCCCTGGATGAGTGGCATATAACAGACGGGGAAGTTGCTCATTTGTCCTCTGCTTATCCAACTTATCACAACATTCACTAAGCCACATGTCCCTTCTGGGCCGTACAGCAGTTTGGGATTTATGTAACTTTGAAATCACATCTTTTCCCTGCTCATTCACAGAGAGAAAGGTAGCCTTGCACACACACACACACACACAAGCACCAAACATGATCAGATGGACTTAGCCAACCCTCTCTAGCAGCTGGAACATGTTGGCTAATCCCCGACCAAATATACCCCTTCATTATGTTACAAAACACAGAGAGATAAAGAGAACTTTGAGTTGTGGTGTCATGCTACGCAGTTTCATAATGAATAAGACCGTTTTCAATCTGCAGTGAAGGAAACTTTTTAAATCTGTGTCTCGTCCAGCCACTCCAACATCTTGTCGCCGTACTCCAAAGCTGTTCCTGCAATCATCGCAAAAGCCTCCGCCATCTACAATCCCATCATCTACGCCATCATACACAACAAGTACAGGTAAGTAATGAATCCGTGTGACTTCATGTATTTATTTTTTCACTCTCTATCCTCTTGCTTTGTTTCGTACAAACTTATTCTAACAGCCCGTGTGTTGTTCCGAACTCAACAGAATGACTCTGGCAGAGAAATTTCCCTGCCTGTGGTTTCTTTCTCCCACTCCTCGCAAGGAGTGCATCTCCTACTCCATCAGCGAGTCCTCCTTCAGAGACTCCATCATTAGTCGACAATCCACAGCATCAAGGACTCACATTATTACCGCCTCCTCCAGCCCTTCTGATACGGTAATCGAGCAGAATAGAGCTCACTCGGAATTTAAGATGATGTTGATGTAGCTTCTTTTCAGACTTTGCCCAGAATATAATATAAGTGATGATTTTGTGACTTTCATTCCTATTACTTTTTTTTTCATAAATTTTGCATTAAACGACTTGAAACAGGCCTTTGCCCTGACTTGGTTGGGATAATCTCCAGCCCACCCGCGACCCTATAGTGAGGATTAAGCGGTGTATAGATAATGGATGGATGGATAATGGATGGACTTGAAACTGACCGACCAAACATTATGCTATAGCCTTATTAGCAATATGAGCAATGCTATTTTCTGTTATGCTCGCATAAATGTGCCAAAATACACCATGTGTTGAAATAAAATGGTAGACAGCAGATGTATTTGACAGAATCTGAATGACATTTGATGGATCAAACTATGACAAAATATGCATAATCCCAGATAATCCAAGGATTTCCAATAAACATGAAGAAATAGCAACCAGCCTTTTTTTTTTTCTTAATAAATGAATGTCGTTACACATCGTCTCATAGGTGAAAATAACCTGAATATGATCTTTGGACGGCCTTAGGCATGTACCTTCCCAAACGTGAACTTCTCAGTTCAGTTTAATTCATCTCAGATTATTCCTTTTTCCCTCCTGCAGGTTTTGAGGGATGTGGAGATGGAGCCCCTGGGCAAGAAGTCGGGGGATTCTTTCAGAAGTGTTTCATCATACAGACAGTCTTGCAGAAGCAGGTCCTATAAGAAACAGTTAGAGCGGAAGACAAGCAAAACCCATAGAGGAGAGAAGGTGAGAAACCATTCAAGTGTGAGATTGGTGCAAATATGTTTGTTTTGTTTTTGCAAACTGTGAAAACTTCTGATTTGGTTTGCAGTTTTCTAAGTCTTTGTTGTTGTTGTTGTTGCCTGGATTCAGTCACACGTCCTGCATTCATGATCCACACAATATATTGTGTTTTTGTGCATCTATATGTATGTCTGTATCTTTTTTTTTATTTCTTTTGTTTTAACATTGCCAGCGTCCACCCACCATGACTGAACCATTGAGCACCTGTGACCCTGAACTGGTTTCAGGCTCTCTGACCATCGCCACTCTCCCTCTACTAGTTCTTACCAGGCGGCGCAGCCAGAGTCTGACCAATGAGATATCCGACGCAAGCAGCAAGAAAGGCGACGTCTGCAACAAGCTGAACAGCCACAAGAGCGACTCTTTTGACTGCTTGAATTTTGGAAAGCTCTCGTCCTCTGATCCCAGGCCGCCTCAGGACGTTCCACGTATAATCGTCATCAGTCCCACCACCGAGAGCAGCCTCATCAAACAGGACAGCATGTGCTTAGAGGAGAGCATCGAGGCGATGGAGAACAACTTTGTCAGCCTGAACTTCTCATCAGAAGTCTTTGAGGCAGTGGAGCTACTCTCTTGACATGCGGGATAATCATCGCCATTAAATCTACATTATTTATTATAAATTCAGACACACTCCTCTCTACAAACACACACACCTGTGTTGGCTATGGACAGAGCACTCATCTGTTTCTCACTTCATCCTGTAAATCAGCGTCATGCCACTGTGTTGCTCAGATCAGTGGTGTGCAGAAGAAAAGCTGCGATGGCAGATGAAACAATATAACCTGGATCTGGTATGCAGTGTGCAGTGTTTGTCAGACTCTGGCATGGACGCGGGCACCCTAAGGGGCAGCATGGGTTGCCGCGTGCTTTTGTTAGATCCCTCAAAAATGACAGGTGTAACAACATATTTTCATGAGCTTAGGGCTCGAGCTTGACAGGCTGGATTCTAAGTTTAGCTCCTGACATCCACAAAACTGTGATGTAAAGTTTTGAGCTGAAATGATTACATTTTAGTTCTTTTTAGGAATCAACTTTAGGAGGGATAACTCCCTTCTTCTGTTCCCCTTAAAACTAGACAATGCGTGTTACACAACGGACAACATGACAGCACATCAGAAACACACATAAGTTACAAAAAAAAAGTGAGTTTATAGTTCCATTTGAGTGCTATAATCACATAAAAATTGATAAAACAAAGAAAGCAATAACATGAGGTTGTAAGAATGCACTTAAAGTATATATATTCATCATTTCTTGTCTTGTGATGCTATTTCCTTTAGGCAGTATGGACCTCTCCAACTTTCCACTGGCACTGAGACAGTGGTGTAATGAAAAAGTGAGGCTGGCTGTGCTGGTCAAAGACTGAAGCAGGATCAAACGTGTCTCATAAAACACTGACATTTCTCCGTGGTGACTTGTGCTGCTCATTGTGTAATACTACAAGGATTGATGTGACGTGAATCAGTTCAGATGTGATGGTGTGATACCCGCATGTTTGTCGGTCTTTTTAAACATTGTGTTGGAGAAGGCACGTTTTCATCCGTCTGAGAGGAGCAGACATATAAATCCAATAACTCCTCGTCTCAGCTCTGAGCCAGTCCGGCTGCAGCTTTATCACCAGACAGAATACTGATATGGGATGATTTTACAAAACCCTGAGTTACATCCAATGGAAACCCTTAAACACATTAAACATCTATATTTTCCTTTACAGATTTTTTTTATCTGCACATGCATGGCTGCTACTGTATGGCTAAAGGGAAAGACTGTGACTCTGGCAAATAACTACAGTTTAAGATAATGTATGGCTCACCTGGACCACTCAGTAAAAACCATAGACTGTATAAAAGATGGGTGTAGCAACCGACTCTGAAAAATGAAGCCAACCCGGAAGTGTCAAAAACCTGCAATATCACTACGTCAGCTAGCTGCTGGCTCCAAAAAGCCCTGGCTCCCATAGACTTGAATTGGAAAAGAAGTGATCACAGATCATGAAATACTGCATTCCTACAGCTCAGGATTTTTTTCTTATTAGTTTTCATAGTCAGATCCAGAGATCAGGTGGCCAATCTGAAAATAAATCAATACTGAATTTTTTAAAAATCGTCAACATTTTGCGGGGCAAGGGGCGTGGCTGGCTTGATTGACAGTCGGCAGCGACGATGCAGATGAAGCGAGCAGAAGGCGGTAAATGTGGGCGGGGCAGAGAGGGCCCGCCTCTCAATCCGTCTGACCAATCGCTGCTCCTTTGGCTCCGCCCCCCTCCGACGATTTTTGCGTCACTGGCTCCAAAAATCCAAGATGTCAACCAGGAAGTAGCAAAACCCTGGCTTCATTTTCTCAGTGCAGAAACCAACGTCACGGTAGCTACGTCCATCTTTTATACAGTCTATGGTAATAACTCGCAAATGCCAAGAATCATTTAAGGCAAGTCACGATATTTGAATATCTTTTGAGTCACTAAAAGATTATTTTAGTTATGTGCTGTCTGTGCAGCTAAACATGTCAATACGCTAACTTAAATTGAATTGACTGAATTGTATAAATGGGTGACATTTTTTAGGTTTTTGGCCAGCACCACACTGATCATCATGGGAAAATATCCTAATTTTGTTGCCCAACTTCACCCACAAAGTCCAATATTTCAGAAAGAAGTAGAAGGTAGAAAGACATATTTCAAACTTCTGAGACTGAAGGTGAATGTACGCTGGTGAATGACGGTTAATGCATTTTGGTGTGGAGCTACCATATGGACAAGCAGAGGAGGGAAATCTCACATGGCTCACTGAAGGTCATTTCAGTTTTACACCTTATTGAGTGCTGTGTGTGCTTTAAAAAAATATACTATTATTACAACTACACATTTCAAATGAATCAACACGTCAGCATCAGGAGGGCTGTTAGTCTTGTTGAAGCGCTTCACCGTGACCTCAGACATAATTAATCCCTCATCCTCCTTCTTCAGTTTCAAAGGTGCCGTAACAAACTTTATTTAGATTATATCCCCCCGAGAGACTAAGGCTGACCATTCTGAACACGTCTGACTTCCCAGAGATTTCCTTCACTGCTAAACAAGCTCTTTTTTTTTTCTGCTTGACCATCTGTCACTTTGTTTCACATTAGTTTGACAGCTGATACCAGAAAGGGAACGTGCACTGCTCGCTATGTAAGAAAAAAACAACAGCTTGGGAGTGAAATAATAAAAGCAGTTTGCCTCCAATAGAGCCTAGTTTAGAATAACAAATGTTGTAAATGAAATAAGCTTAAAATAAGGTGGAATTCTTTCTGAGTTGAACTGGTCAGCTTTATCAACACAACCCCAGGGTGGTTTTCTTTAAGAAGTCTACAGTATGAGCACACTGCCAGCAGACCTGTAATCTGTGGTGGAGCCATACCTTTTCATAATGTAGTCTCTTTTTCCTCCACTCTTATCATTTGTTTATGCAGGTAATACTGCCATGTAGAGGGTTAGGGTTGTAATAGCTTTTTTTGATTTAATGTCAGTTTATTTAAAATCTGGAACCGCTGCTAAACTTATTCTGTTTAAATTTCTGATAAAGGTTATAAGAAAATTTAAACCACATAAGACACATAAGTACACATAAGACCTTTATGGAAAAGATGACCTTGTTCTGCTCAGACATCCCTCTGTGTCCATCCAGCCTGTCGTTCTTTTTATTTTTTTTATTTTACCTTTATTTGACCACATAAAAGACCCATTGAGATCGAAACCTCTTTCACAAGGGTGACCTGGCCAAGAAAGGCAGCAGCACACGTCCACAAATAAACAGAACAAAACAATCACAAAATAAAGATTAAAAATGGAAGGTGTAGACGGTGAGCAGATAAAGTGCAGGACTGATGACTTCAGTAGCAGTTTAAAACACAGATAAAGCAGATAAAGTGCAGGAGTGATGACTTTGATAACAATTTAAAAACACAGGCACTGCTGAATGGGATTCTGTTGTCGATCCTTTAGGAAAGAGCGAAAGGACATAAGTTCTGACATTTGTAACTCAGATTGAAGGGTGTTCCAAGCAGAGGGGGCAGAGAAACTTCTTTCTTCTGGGTTCTGGGTCAATATTAAATTGTTCAGCAGTTTGTTTCCAGAGCTCTTCAAAGTATGTTCAATCCCTAAAGTCTTTAAGAGTCAATCCAAGAGCTCCAACCAAATCCTCAGCTAAACCTCAATAATACACTTTTCAACTAATAGAAACATCAACAAACAGATTTTATTTTCATATATATATAAAAAAAATCAGATACATAATTGTACTGTTGATACACTTTTCAGTGACAAGAATGCAAAACCTTTGAATTGCTGCAAAACCCTTGTAAATATTTCCTACTAACTACTTGTCTGTGATTGGTTGAATGTTGTGTGACTGTGCTGTTAAAATGCATCTGTGTGGGAACAACGGCCACAGAGAAATGGTTCCACAAAATAAACTGGTTCCGTCTACACAGGATGCAACCCTGGTTCTATATTTCTGTACCTGCATAGCTGTTCAACGGGGTTCACTGTTGGTTGTGTGCAGTGACCAGACCTCGGCCTCCCCAGACCACCCTTTGGCTCTTGTAATTACAGCAGATTTCACTTTAGTCATGTAGGTGATAGTGCAGCTTCAAAAGTCCCATTATGTTCACCCAGTATGCATTATCTCCAGTGTTCTCCCTCTGGACTGAGCATTTTATTTTTCACCATGTACCCACACCAGCCTTTCTTTAATGTGTCCCCACATTGTGGACTGATTGTGTGATGTGTGTGTGTTTTATTTTTCATGCCACGCTGCTGCTGTTTTATGTACTGCTTTCTTTTGTGGTATTGCAAGAATATCTAAATCTATATATAAATATATGAATTTATTTTCATTGTTTGTGACAAGCTGAAGAAAACTAACGGTACTTTTACAATGTTTAAACTGGGGTTTGTTTTCACCAAAGTCATGTACTTAAAATGAATAAACCTGTGTAGAACTCCAGTTTGCACGACTGTTTTGATGGAAAAAAGCAGATTATACAGACTCTAGGGGATGCACTGTAACCTATATGTGAACAGATGCAAATTATGGAAAAATATGTTGACCGCTACTTTCAGAGAAATTAAGATTTGAACGTTTTTTTTCCACAGAATGTAGTAGTTCAGATGCATGTCTTAGCTTTGACATTGCTCACATGGGTGTGAAGGAGGCATGCTCCCTCCAAACATTTCATAAAATCTCTTGTCTTTGCAGAGGTTTAAATTGATCTGACTGTCCAGCAAACATGCTCATATTTTGCTGGAGGGAGAGGCGGGTATTCTGTTGTTACAGCACCCTTTACATGCCCTTCTGAAAACAAAGCCTTTGAATTGTGGGTGGCATGTTGGTGCGCTTGTTTTCACTGTCACTTTCCAGCACTCACAGACATTACACTCATCCAGGATGAGTGATTGGTGTTTTGACATATCACAGCAGGAAACCACTCCGCTCTGCTCTGATTAATACGCTCCAGTCAGGGAGGCCTGTCCCTGGTCTCTAAATTGTGCATTAAGTCAAAATGTCTGCATGAAATAGTGCCTGTTTCATCATGGAG